ATATGGAAAGAGGGAAAAGGAAATAAGGAAACAAACGAGAAGAGAAAGGACTTAGTGCTATAATATGATAAGAGCTACGAGAATGAGATATTGATTATGAACATTCATATATATAATTGAAACAAGTATAGCAAAATCTCTTCATAAGGATACTGGTTTTTATAATCTTTTTTGAGAATATATAGAGGTATTCTTGTATAGAGGTATTCGATTAATTCCGATATAGTAGTAACCTATTTTCGATCAGTTCTGATTGGATTATATTCTGTGATAATTTGGTAACTATTTTATTTTTTATAAAAAGTAATTAAAATTTCAATATATCAATTATATAATAATTAATCTTGAGAATTCTATTAGTTTATTAAGGATATATGTGATTTTAGGATTAAAGAATATAAGAATATTCTAATAGAAGGGTTTAAGGATATAGATTATTTTTAGTTTTAAAAAATTTCGGGATTGAAAAATTTATTCTTATAAAGAGGTTATTCTTATAGAGGGGATCCTTATGGAGAGGTTTTGCTGTATATTATATTACTATGAAATGAGAATTAATACTTACTAAGAATGTGATACTAGATACTCTTTTTAAGTTATCCTCGCTTGTGGTTTTAATTTTATCAAGATCTCTCTATATATCTCAACGACGATTCGCATTCAAAAGTAGTAAGAAAGTATGCGGATGTAAGATATGTAAATCATTTGTCCATTATAAGGATCATTTTTATGTATATAATATCCCGGGTATAAAGAAACAATACACGTTCTATTGAATCAAACTGGGTGATAATGTGACTATATGACTTTCGATATCGAGATACTGAGGATCTAAACACTCGATGAAGCGTGGACAGGTATCATCGCTAGAATTTCAGTGGTAGATATTCGATTGTATGATATTGAAGGATTGTAGATATTGCATTGAGTGATAGATTGTTTTAATTGGAATGTAAAATGAGATGAGATGGATAGAGATTCATTTGTAGTCTGATTGTGTGTCGAGGTGAGATGCATATGAACGATACACAGTGATGATTAGTTGAAGGAATTGACGAATAAGCGAGGATTTGTGATTTCAGTAGAATTGTGACTAGAGGTGCCTGGAGAACGGGATAGGATTTCATATATTGATAAACATAATAGTACTCATGTGTTATGAAGTTCAGGAAGGGTATTGGAGTAGGAACTGATGAAAACAATAACATTGGTATCCGGCTCTCTCCCGGCTTTTGGCTGATAAGTAACGCAACGTATGAGGAAGCGCGGGTAATGCGAAAACGAAGTTTCTTCAATATCCCGTGAGTGAGCCTCATGGATGCGCGGACGAAGATATTCCAGGAATCAAACCTTGCAGCTTCCCGTGAGATATCTCAGAGTCACTAGAACTAAATGTGATTCTCAATTTTGCCCTTTGGTTTTCGGGGCGAGCTGATGTTAGTGTGAAATACAATACTAAGAATTATGATCAGCTGATTTTGGTACGCTTTCGTATATTTGCACTTTTAGCAACTTGTTTATTTCAGATCAAAAATCTACAGTTTTGGATTATTCTACTCGGAATACGTTTAACTTTTTAGCTCTGTAGAATAGTAAATACCCTGTTTCGTGTGAATTTTCTTATCCAAGGTCTTATATGGCATCGAATTCCTTCTTCTTCAAACGAGGAGTGAACATTTGCATGGTGTTTTAGTTGCTTTGCAATTCGAGATAAGCAGTTACGTATATAGTCAGTGATATCATATCCATGCATTATTTTCTTTCTCTCCAAGAATACCACATTTTCAAAGGTTGTGGTGGGGAAAGCGTGACAAAATTGAGGGCCGCAAGTAAGAAACGGGATGCGGAGCGAATTTCTAGAAGGGTGTCTCTGGTGGCTTAAAGTTGGCAATCTTTAATCTACTTGGGGCGGGCTTGTATTTCTGGGCTTTAGGATATTCCTTCAAATTGTGAACTAACCGAATTGTAATGGATATAATTTCATGTCTTCTTGTGACGCTTGTGTGACAGAATGCTCTATAATAATAAACATGCATGTGATCATTATCTTTTTGAAGCCAATAAACGCACCTTGCCGTATACTCGCATGATACTAGTCAGCAATCGGTACATCCATGGTCTAGCTCTTGGTGATCCAATTCGTTTGTTGCTGATAAGCAATCATGTCCATTCAAGGGGCTGTGTCTTGCCTCGATTATTATTTCCAACCTCTCTTCTCAAAAACCAACTCGATGATGTCGACCCAAGACTCATGGGCAGATGGCCTCTGGGAACTCTTGGAGACACCAGAGAACACTCAAGATACAGAGTAGCTATCCACACTCTTGAAATGGAAAGTCGATTGACTATTGATATCAATAGAAAAAAACTTGCCGCAATCCACTCCGCAAACGAAATGGCCCATTTACATAATTGTATGATTAGATGCATCGACTGTATCTATTTGGAAGCACCCCACGTGAAAGCGACAGAAGATGTCAAAGATTTCTTATCCTTCGTCGAAGCCTGGTGCTCTTTTGTGAAGCATCACCACGACGTCGAGGAAGAGCTCATGTACCCTCAGCTTGACAGTTTTACCGATAGCCCCGGCTGCATGAGCGCCAACTTTGCGCAACATGCAATTTTCGAACCTGGACTTCACGAACTTGTTGATTATTCAGAGAAGACCTCGCCTTCCAAATTCAGCGCCATCAAGTACGCTCGTTGATCGACGGATTTGCGGATGCCCTGCGGAATTATCTGAATGCAGAAATTCCGGCACTGCTAGCACTGCAGCCCTACAAGAGCGAGGGTACCATGAAGATATTCAAAGAATGTGAGGCTGCAGGTTTCAATCAACCAAATGTTGTTATTATCTAGGAATATTATCTTACGGGTACAAGACTAAGCGAAGACAGGATACAGCATTGCCACTGATACTGGGTCTGTCAGATAGCTCGTTCGGAATGGAAGATACGTTTTCCAAGAAGTACCGGGGTTTGGAAGATATCTTGTCCATTATTGATTGGTATTGTCGCCACATCAGGGCGCGTGGAGGTTTTTACCTTGTGATATGTGGGGTATGCCGAGACCTTTAGCATTCTTGAATTAGATATGCCAGGGTAAAGGCGGTCGTTCAATCTGTCAATTTAAACGAGCACAATACAAACATGAGTATGAGTAGGTAGAGCACAAATACGTGTATATCTCGACTCAGTAAGTTATGAAGGAAGTAGTGGTTCTACCACAGATATTCGTTTTTCATTTTCTACATCCCATTCAGCAATGACCGTGTGGAAAGCGATTGGAATTCGATAGTACGAGAGCGCATTTCAAACACAATGTCATAGAAAACTACCTTTGTAGGGTCTGGTGATGAAGCTACACCTATGTGGATCTTCTTTTGATTCCTTGGTCTTATTGTAAAGCTGAGCAGTTGTCATGTAAGAAGATCTCAAAAGTGTGACTGCATTAGAAGAGGGAATATTCTTGAGGTTGACGGTATAAAAGAAATATAATTTAATGAAAAGTCCAAAGTTGTATGGAAGTATTGATGAGGTAATACCTAACTTGAAGTCGATACCTGGGTACTGTATCAATCTGCATGTCGGTATGCCGTTGCATTTCGGCAAGAGTAACCATGTAAAATCGGCCGAACCAGGAAGCGAGATGGCCGACGCCGATGAACCTTAATTCCACCTCAAATGCACTCTAGATGTTACATTACAATGGACAACCGCAAGAAAGGAATTCTAATAGTTAGGTTACTAATACCTAGTTTCGAGAGGCATCAAACGCTGTGAAGGTTGTCGTAAGCTGTGTATACTTTTTCTTACTGGGAGGTATGCAAGTTCAAATCAGAAACTCACGGATTTGACTTAATATCTAACTCGAAGTATTTCTTTGCAAATGCAAAAGCACTTCCCACGCAAAACTCTCTTGGTGTGAGTGAAAAATTTCTTGTCATGTTACATTTGATTTGGAAGAGATCAATCTGCAAACTTCAAGTACGTCATGAGTATGACCTTTTGACCCTGGAGATGTTGAAGCAAATTTTTCATTCTCAATATCACAAAGGTTGTGTATTAAGTGATGCTATAATCCAATGATGATATTGACAAGCTATGATGAGTGAGAAGGACTACAAGAGTATCATGAATAGTGTCCATGCAAACTTTTCCTTAAGAGAAGTCAGAGCGGTGCTCTGGTTCTTCCACCTTGTCACGACTCACGTTCATTCTTTTGGGGAAAAGCCTTTGTTATTTGTTGATTTCAGGAGAGGTTCTTTTCATCTTAGCAAAATGAATTTGAGTCCTTTGTTTCACAATGCAGCAGAGTCCAGACCTCTGTGCTCTCATTCTATGGTCGCAAACCCATTGTATAATTCTACCACGAGAACATAGATGCATACTGTCCTCTCCAGGAACAACCATTCAAAAGCATCTCTTTGTGGCAGAATCCACCAGATTGTGCATTTATATTTTCGTAAGAAAGGTCTACAGTTCCTGTAGCTTATTATGAGAAGGAGTTCCAAGGGCTCAGCCTTCCATGTATGGAGAACCATGATTTTCACAGGGAGGAGAATTAATGATTGTTGATTTTGGTTTGCTCCTAGAACGCTGTGGTTTGTGCTTAGTGTAGAATTGTCCATGAAGAAAGTCATATCTATCAAACATCCTTGCTCGAGCAGTGAATAACTTCGTCTGGCCATTTCGGAACTATCTTTCTCCGGTGTTTACCTAGCAGTTATCCAGTCATAACAAAATACTTACTCATATATTTCACACATCTCAGCTTTCTCTATTGTACTTGAATTTACATTGTATCAAACTTTTTACTGTCATTCTTGCAATTATATTGTCGTTTCCTTCTGGCTTTCCATCAAATTCAACTCAACCAATAAACACTATTCAATCCCTAATAAACCCCAATAATAACGAAACTGCTCCTCTAAGCTTTGTTTGACTTAATCTCTTATTATGCTTGTCGTTTTTCGAGAGTCATTGGCTCAATTTCAGACCATGATTATGTTAATTTTCATACTGGTCTGGGGACTCTTGAGTGGACTTGCAGCTTCTACAACTTCAACTGATATCAACGCAAATTTCTTTTATCTTACTCTTGATCCAAATGCAACAATAACAACTGTAAGATTATCACTTTTAATCTACTAAACTACTTGTTTGATAGCAAGCTGACAAGTCGAAGTTCCAAAGTATTCAAGTGGTTCCCTCCTCCTCCAACGCACTAGTCATCCCAGGTAATGTTCAAGCTATATGGCCTGCGCTTCAAAACAATAAAGGTATTATTCAAACCGTGGTTGCAAACCAAGGAAGCATCGGAGAGTGGTTTTACATTGGATTAGAATTTTGTTGCACGTATGTATATGTTATATCGTTCTACACAATTCAATCTTCATCGTTATCCGAGATTGGTGGAAAATAGTTGAAGTGACAAAGCTGACTTGTATAAAACGTGCAGACCTGAAGACTGGCAAGCTGATAAAGCTCAGCAGGGTAAGTTCAATACATATCGCAATATTTGTACGCAGGTAGTGGAGCTGATACATATACAGTATATCCAGGAGATCGTATCACCACAAAGTACCAATTGATGAGTGCAAGTACTGGAGTATATAATGTTACATGGAAGGTTGAGAGGGGTTACTCCGGTATTCAAGCTGCCGAGATGTTCTTTACTGCAGAATCTCTTTTCAATCCCCAAGAGCATCGTAAGTCATTCAGCGCACTTTCATTCGCTATGCAGAGCCCAGAAGTAGAATATGCTAACGAGGATAATCAACAGCAACCCCTGGTGGCCAAGGCCCGTTTAATAAGGTAAGCAGCTCGGGTTGCCTTTGATCCTCCTTCATGATCTTCTGATGTAAACTAACTATCTTTAGGCACTTTTCGCAATCGAAACACAAGGAGGAAGTAAGTGGGACTTTGGGCCAGTTCAATGGGACCAAATCACTATACAAGCCGACACTACTAGAAGTGATTGATGTCTTAAGTATGTCCTTAACTTTTTCTCCCACTCTACTTGTTCACCCACACCATGGGCGGTAGTACTCACCTTAAATGATTCCACGAACTAACAGTTCACAGACCTACCAATAATACGGACTTCCAACACTACTTTTCCACTCCCACGGTCTTCGTCTCCGACAATCAAGTAATCTGCGAATATTCTTCGCTGATCTTTGGTGACATAAAACCACCTGCAGCTTTCTCATCTCTCGCCACCTCACACACTGAATCTGGACCCACCACACAAGATCTGGTTTTCTCACCTACCACAAGCTCCACAGCTGCAGTTTTCGTATATCGTCAAGAGCCACCTCTTCCAACACCAAATCTCGATGGCCCAGGTAATTCTCCCACCTCGACGCTCTCGAACGGCCTTCCAGATCCCTCCTATTCTGCGCTTTCAGCTTCCTGGGAATCAGCCAATAACTACTACAATTCCTACAATTCAATCCAAATGTCCAAATACACCGTCGCACTAGAAGCCGATCTGAAGAGCATCTTTGGAACTACTACCATCACGACGGTGGATGGGGATAGTGCGTTGACTACCATCACAACCGATAACTACAAAGCATGGGCTACTGCTTACGCTGCGGCACATGGAAATGGAACGGGTAATTCTACAATTGCGGATGCTGATCAAGATGCTGTCCACCTTGTTCCGATGCCCCTTCCGTGGTTAATGGCTATGCTTGTCATAATGAGCTCGGTGATCGTGGGCGCTGCTGCTTTTTTCATCTACAGGCCTAGACATAGGGATGTTTCATGAGGGTGTTCTCATTTCAAGTATGATGAACACTAGCTGTACTCTAGATTCTTCAAGAGGTTTAGACACTGTATTTTCTAGAGATGCAATTTCAAATAGGAATAATTGTGTAATTCAAGAAACTCGTTTCAAAATTCCAAATCAGAGTCTATGTATTACCGTGACATATTTGAACTTTGAGATGTTTTCTTACAAGGTCATGACGAAACCTGGCAGGTATTATTGGAAGAAAGATGTAAGTAGGTAACCACCTATTTCTCTACAACTCGAATGAAAGTTTGCAATCTCCTACGTTATTTGCAAGATGCATTAGTGTCCCTTTCTGATCTCAGATTCAAAGCACTGCGCTCTCGCTCCAATGTTTGAATTAATAATACAGATTTGCTTCCAAAATCCAATTTCAAATTTTTAAACAATTTTACATATTGCTAGACTTCAAATAATTTTACATATCAGATCCTGAGCGATTTCAGAAATTCAAATTCATTTATGTTTATGCAACTCCTACGATTGAGGCCAGAGATTGACATTCGGCTAATTGGTATCAGAGATCTTGCATGATCTCATCCATATCTTGTGGTTCTAAATCAATAGATCTTCTGGACTGGTTTCGGTGCTTCGAATGTTCAGATATCCTGCAGCTATTAAGATTGGGAGGGAATTTGGTAGACGGTATCAAGGTCGGTAAGAGGTCTAACTATTAAGAATAGGGTAAAGATTATAAGCCAAAAACAGGCAGAGACATTGCGTGATCATGAGGAAAGAGTAGTCTCTGTCCATGAGGTCTAAAAGTGGATCAATTGCAAGGCACTACTCTTTATCAAATACAGATCATTTCTGCGCTCACGAATTCACATATATGGTTTTAGACGTAAGCAATGGTTTCTATTCGTGATGCGCCTTAGAGAATACTGTATTTGATATATGAGATAGTATGCCATACACAGAAAGATACTTTTTTTTGCGATGACGTTGAATTGGTTATTAATCATGCTATTCTCGACTCGAGACATGGCGCACTATGCAGAGATACCATTACTGAAAGCATCCCACGCATCCTTCTTCCACGGTGCGACCATAATACCCCTCTGAGCGTCACCGACCTTCCCAGTACCGGCATACGCAGTTGATAAATCCTCAGCACCCAAGACTCCACGTGGAGGGACGGATTTCTTCGCCGTCAGTACTGCCATCTCAGCCGCCTTTGCATCGCCAGTTGTATTTGCCAATCTCGACCAACCATGGGTTGAACCTGGATAAAGAATCACATCTTTCTGGACCTCGCTCACTACTTGAATCTGCGAATCCTCTTCGGAAAATGCAGCAATAGAACGAAGAACTTCGCCAACACGTGCTTGTTCTGCACCCGTGATAACTCTATCAGTGCGGAGAGTTTGTAATTCCGCAGTTACTGCTTCGATTCCTTCGGTATCTGAATTGAATAGAGCTATAATTCCGAGAAGTAACACTGATTGTACGTGATTGGGATGAGACTCCACACATTCATAGAGAATATCTTGCGCTTTGGTGCGGGATGATTCGGTGCCATGAGCCCACAAAACTTGAGCAAGGACGCATACTGCATCAGGATTTCCTTTAGATTCTTTGAGAGCGGGCTCAAAATATTCAAGAGCTGTATCGAGATTTTTCAGGTAGTAATGGGCTAGGCCGACAGTAAGATGAGCCGATAGTCTACATTTCTGACGATCTTCTGCAGAAAGCTCATTGCCGCTATCTTCATCGCAGAGTTGTAAAGCGAGGTCTCCACTTTCTACAGCTTCTTCATACTGTTGATTTGCTAATTGAGATCGAGCGAGATCTGCTTTGGCTAAAGCAAATCGAGATAATGATTCTGGTGATTCTGTAACTTCGTAATCAGCTTCAGCTGCTCCACAAATTGTGGTCAAGGTTGTTACAGCTGAAGAAATATCGTGTGCACGCTCAGCAAAAAGTGATGAGAGATGCTTTGAGACAAGATCATCAGGAGCCATCGATTGCACTTGGTTCAGCGCAAACAAAGGCTGAACAAAGTCTGCCACATTGGTGACATTCTTCGCAGCCAGAACTTGATCAAAAGTTGACTGTGAGTATTGCCGATGCGTGATCAAAGAAGACGATCCAGAGATCTCCATAGCATGAGTAAAAAGGAGATTGGCTTCTTTCACATCGCCCAACATGAGAGCAAGAAGTCCCTGTCCAATCCAAGCATGCGAGTAATCTGGATCTGTAGATTGAGCTCTTGTAAAGGCATCATTGGCAAGCTGGTGATCGTTCTGTTGTAAATATAATGATCCTAAATTAGTCCATGTCTGAGCACTTCTCTCATTCAAGTAGAGACTTCGAACAAAAGAATGCTGTGCAACCTTTGGATTTAGATCACTGGTAACTATACCCAAAGCGTTCCAGAATTCTGAGTTGCCTGCTTCTAATTCGATGGCTCTTTTGAAACATCGCACTGCGGCTTTCTGATATCTAGTAGATTTCTTTTTCAAACTGGGTGCCAAGCAGACATGAGCACGATGCTCAACCCAACCGAGGTTGTAATAAGCAACTGCCTGGGCGTGTGTATCGTGAGATGAGGCATGTATAGCTCGCTTGTGAGCTAAAATCGCTGCATGAAGACATCGAGTTCGGCGCACTCCATCCTCTTCGTCGGCAGGAAATAGTCCCTTTGCTAAAACGACATCAACAGATACTCCATCGACCTCAGCGAAAACATCATAAGTAGTTGCCCATTCTTCAAGCAATTTTTTGATATTCGCATCTGGGAACTCGTTGATGCGGCTCCAAACCCAAGAGTAAACAGCACAAGCATCGCCTACAGCTCGCCAGAGGTTGAAAGCATCAGCTCTGCTCTCGAAAACTTGACTAGCAACTTCTATAGCTTCGGTCGCACGTTGAGCCGCTTGTCCAAAAAGCCCTTTCTCAATACTATCCCAGGCACTATCAACTAAAGTCTGAATCAGAGCAATGGAAACGCCAAATTCCGCGGGACGATTCTGAAGTACAGATTTATAGCCCTCAATGGCATCATCAAAATTTCCTAGCTCACGCTTTACATTGGCGAGCATATGCTTTGCAAACCAAGTCTCACCATCCTGTCTTTGTTCAATTTCACTCTCGAATTGTTCCGCATGGTGAAAAGCTTTTGTGGCAGCAATGTAACGTCCGGAATTGTGATAACTTTCGCCTAGGCCGACCCATGAATGATAATCAGAAGGTGCAATGCGCAATGCGGATTGGAAAGAAACAATGCTCTCGGAGTAGTCTTGTTTATTCAACTCGGCAGTTCCAAGAGCAGCAAATGGCCAACTGATGCCCTTTTTCTTTGAACCAGGTGCTGGTCTGACCTTTCCTGAATTGACAACTCGTTGAGCAACTGATTCGACCAGCTCCCACTCGCCCTGGCCTGCGAATATCCTAGCCAAGCGCTCAGCAGCTTCCACTTCCGAGGATGAAAGCTCAAAGGCTTTCTGAAAACACTTTCGAGACCTCTTTTTGTCATTCGAATAATCTGCGTAAAATATACCGAGACTGGTATATGCCGGAGCAAAATTGAGGTTACTTTTCAGTGATGCTAAGAAATATGAATATGCCCCCTTTCTGTCTTTGCGAGCGGATTTCGAAGTATCTATGTTCCATAAGCAAACACCGACACGATATTGTGTCTGGGCCAGCAAGTCTCGAGACTTCATATCTTTAGCTTCGATTTGAGGTAAGCATTCTTCTAACTCCTCACGTCCACGAATATAATCGCCATTAATAGCCTTGACCCATGCGGCTTCAGCTTTCACTCGGATATTCGCAGGATCTCGTTGTAAAGCACGTTCAAGGAAGTCGATGGCGGCAACAAAGTCGTCTTCTTCCTCATAAATCAAACCAATTCCTATGAGAGCAGGAGTTGAGGTTGGATTTTCTTTCAACAGACCATCGAATAAAGCTTTTGCTTCCGGATGATTCTTCGGCGATTGATAAAATACGAGAGCAGTACCCAACAAGGCTTTGAAAGATTGGGATGCATTTTTGAACTTTTTGCCAATTTTGTTGGACTCTTCTAATGCAAGCCGATTTGCGTTCCGCATGAGTTCAACCACGCTTTCGTGCTCATCTAAAAATTGATAATACTCTCCCATGAGACGATGTGCCAGTATTGATGTGGGAGAATCCGTCATGCCTTCTATCATCATTGCCAGGCGATCTTCTGCAAGCATTGCAAAGTCATCCAACGTCACTCCTCCTCCGTCGTCTTCATCCGAACTACTTTCATCACCTTTCTCGTTCTTCGTGGGAGCTGGAGTTCGTGGCGGTGGCGGGAATGGCGATATCTCACTGGACATGAATCCTCGAAGAACCTGAGCAAGACCACTCGTAGGAAAGAAATCTATGTATTCCCGCAAATTGTTGACATCCAAGCCTTGAACATGTTCGGGATCTTGCCACTCAATAGCAATATCCCAGGCCAGCTTGTACGGATGCTTAATTAAAACCATATCTGTAGCCAGCTTGAATAGTTTTGATCGTTTTTCTGTCTTTGAGTCTCCGGGCGGGAGAATAACCAGAGTGTCTAGGCATCTTTTAATGAGTTTCTCTTCGTATTGACGGCGAATCTCATCATCAGTGGTCCAGTCTATGATTTTATTGTAAATTTCTTCCAAATCACTATCTTTCAAGACTTCCCGTTTTACTTCGACTGTGACTTGACTAATTTTGGCACCTAATCTTGTTCGTCGCTCTCCTATTTCCTTGTTGATACGCTCTTTCTCTTCGAATTCGGTAATCTGAGCTATGATTTGATAGGTATGCGAGGGATGATGAACGCGACCTTCCAGATATTGATAGATTGGGCTATCAGGTAAAATGACTTCCAAGGACTTCCTGTGCTGCCAGCGGGATCCTTCATTTTTGGCAAATGCGAGAAATTTGTCAATGACATCTTGACATTTGTATTTGTCGTCGTGAGCTTGATAGATTTGAGCTAATTGCAAAGCTGCTGTTTGGTATTG